TTGTAGAAAGTACACGTGTAAGAATATAATTTTTTTTGCTGTTACAGAGCAGAAGAATAAAAATACCAGAGGAAGAGAGTTTAAAGTGAAAGGGGGGAAACAATTGTTTAACTTCATTCTAAAGACCTCCAAGCACACTAATAGTTTTGTATCATCTTGTGGACAGCTTCTTTTTCTCATCTCAATCTACCTACTTGGCACAGCATGGGAACGGTCTCAGACGCTGCATCCCTGGAGCTCTTAGAGGATGGGGAGCAGTGGAAGTGGTAGCAATACTTGCTCCTTGGGAAAAGCTGTCTCAGATTTCAGAGCAAGTCTGTGTAGAGACCCATATGTGAAAAGTTATTACAGCAACTTTAAGATTCAGTGTTTGATTTGGGAATTAGGTTTTATTACAATTTTTTATTATTGTGTTATGTTTATTATAATCTTCCTTATACCTTGTATTCTTGTTTCTTATGCTGAAGTAAGTATACCGAGTGTCTCTGGGCAGGAGTATTGTTAAAAAGTAATAAGCACCTGACAGGATCTTGCCTGAACAGTGTAACAGGATTGCTGAAATTGGAAAAATTAATTACAGCTGGTCTTTCCCAAAGGGAAGCTAGAAACTCAGGTGGTAGTGGTAACATTAGAACAAGAAAAAAGCAAGCAACAATAATAGAACAGGACAGATGAGACTGCAGAAAGTAGGTTTCCTTACTGGCGGATCAGCTAGAGGTAAAAAAACCCAAACCAACCCAAACTTGACCGCTTCAGGCCCTTTCAGGACTTGTCAGGGGAGCCCCATGTTTTGGAAGACAAGCTCTTAGCTGCAGAGATACAGTTGGAGAGATGTTATGTAGAACCCTTACAGGACAGTTGGAGGAGTTGTGTTAACCCCTGTTGCCTTTGTGGGAGCGACTCTTGTGTGTTTGCAAGCACAGTGTTTGTACTCATTTTTGGGTCAGTAAGGAGATGGTGCTTCTCTAAGACCTTGATTTGGCATGTCCTTAAATTTGTCTTCATTGCTCTGCTCCCATGACACTGGGTTGCTTCCATCTCTTTTGCAACGTGTGTTAAGCTCATTGCAATAGAGATCACTGCATTTTCCAGAGATGCTTTGCTGCTGCTGCAGTACTTATAGTGCTGCCAGGGTTTGGAATCAGCCCTTGCGTGGTCAGTTACCTTACATTGGGGTTAAAATACACTAGTGTAATATGTAATATGCATTTTTAAAGAGGTGCAGATGCTAATTAATTTTCACAGGTGCCCTGCAGATGGAGAAGTCGAACTGCTGAAAGTCACAGGGTGAGACAGAAATGTCATTAGGATTTTGTGTGAGACCTCCCTTCCAGTCCAATGCTCTAATTCTGTAGCATAGAAGGCCTTGCCGAAGTAGTCCTGGGTACCCTTTGAGAGAAAATCTTTTGTTCATAAGGAGGCAAGAACCAGGCTTATTCCCACACCATCTTACATTGTCTGTTCTTTACAGTAGTTTATTTTTGATAAGCCACAGCACATTTGAATGTAACTGTTAACATGCCTAATTTGCAATCACACAGTCGTATCAATAATAATGGAAAGTTGTTCACAGGTAATAAATTGGCATACCATATAAGTAGCTGAGCTGTGGCTCTCAGTATATTGTTTCATGATCAAGAATTCAGTAGTTAAATATACACAGCAGTGGGCTGAGAACAAGCTGTTCATTTTTGCTGCAAGTAGTACCAGTGGACCAGAGTAATCATAGCTCCCAAAAGAGGACTGATTTTATTGATTTAAATAGGCTTTCATTATAGAACTGAGCCTATTACAGTTGCAAGGAGTATCACTGCCATTTGTATTCACAGCACTGACCGAAGGGAAGGTGAATTGTTGAATCCAATGTAGAGGATGCTTGTCCCTTGGAGTTTGCTGAAACATCTGAATTTAGTTAAAAGTACTTAAAACTTTTTTCCTATGTGGTCAGATTTCATTTTAATTTTAGAACTGTGGTTAGACCCAACTACACTTGTGAAATTTTAATCTCTCAGGACTTCTCTGAGGAGCAAAGGTCTTGCTTATTTATTGGCATCTGACTTGGGGGCAAGCTGTATTTTGCTCCCTTTTGTTTTATTTAAGGACTCTTTGGAAATGTTCATGCCTCTTTCTTTAGTAGATGAATTGAAAAAAGGACAAATACAAGGTTCAGTGAATAAACTGTAAAGTCTGAGATATTAATATTCAAGTTATAATTAGTTAAGAACACATGCTGTTACCAGAAACGCGTCATTAATCTGCATGGAGCAGTTTGCGGCTATTTGCTGCTAAATTAGTGACACTTAAAAGCAGTCTTTTTTGGTATTGGTTTGAATGGTGAAGAAAATGTTAAATCTGTCACAAAACCAACAAAAAATAGATGAATGCACGTTTAAGCAGCAGTCTGTTGTATCATTGGGGATTTGGGGGATTTTATGGGGGGTGTTTCTGTATTTACACTGATGCTTGCCAGTCAGTGGACATACACAGAAGTTCATCGAAGCCTTAATTATCAAATTCAGTGCTGTTAGAAACATTACACTATACTTTATGGTGATGTAAAGATGTGTTTCTTGTGCTAGATTCTCTGCAGATTGGTATTTATAAGTGCACAGCCCTGCTTAACCGTTTTTGCAGTGTTACAGCGGCGGTTTGGAAGGGTGCTAATGGAAATTAGTTACAGCTTTTTGTTTTTAATGGGTGTAATCCTGACTTTACATACTGTTCTTAAGAATTTTAACACTTACTATTATTAGAGCCTCCAAGTGAACGTGGGTTACTTCAAATATTCCAGCTAAACGCACATTTTTCTTTTGGGGTAGTCTTTCATAACATAATTTGGCAATTCAAGTAGGAGATAACAAAAACCATGTGAGCATTTCTACAGACCAGCTCTCTAAATAAAATGCTGACAGTAAGTACTGAATCAGCTTGGTAAGTACTGGACCAAGCCTAGTTCCTGTATGATAAGATCTGGCTGGTTTACTTCATTTTACAGAGCCTGGCCAGGTAACTGTTGAATTAGATTGCTTCCTGTTGGTTTCCCTAAGGGCAAGAAGAACCTCCTGTAGTGTGCTCTGCTGAGCTGCTGTATTGATTAGTTCTTCAGGTCTAATCTTTACATGGTTATACTTGCTTTTTAGTGTATTTGTTTATGAATTTGATAGTTGTTTTTCTTATTTTATTGCCTTGATAGTTCTCCAGAGGATTATTAAAATGCACACATTAATTTCTCTCCCTAGCTTCCTTTGTTGTAGTCAAATGGAGATAATCAGCACTTGTATAGCATGTTGGTTAGGAATGAGGGTAATGCTCACTCACAGAACTGATATCAGGTATCACTGACAATCAAAACTCACATCGTTGGGATGGTTGGCACCTCAAATCCATGTAATTAAATGCTTCCAGCATCTATTAACAATGTTAGATTAGATTCTTTTTTGCAGCAGCTATTGTTATTTGAACAGTTTGTTGCTGCAGGTTGGAAAGTGATTTATAGTTTTAATTAATCTTAATAATTATTGTGCTTAGGAAACATTCGATATAGAACTTTGTTGCATTTAAATTTCCTTGTTATCTGCCTTGCAGTGGCATGAGTAATAGGGAGCCCTGAACATGAATATATTGGAATGCATGAAGTATTTTCAAGGAGAGTGCTTTTAAGGTTCAGAATGATATATGTCAAATGTTAATGAATGGGTAAACACATGAAAGGATTTTGCATTGAGAAGCTTGGAAATAAGATATCTTCTAGTACAGTACCTCCAATAGCTGTGTTAAAATGCATTCCCATCTTAATACGGGAAATAGAATATTTATGCTGTAATATGTATTCTATCCCAACATCCAACTTCTTTTCTAGTTGCTGAAATTTATTATACTGGAACTTTGAAGTGAGGCTGTATCAGAGCTGGTCTGCACCAAAAATTGCCATAACTTCACACTTCTATTTAATAATCTGTAAAACGTTTTTTATGTAATTCGAGCCTAGAAAACCTGTGTTTGTTGGAATAAAAGTATTTGTATCATCTGTGCTGCTTAAAGAGTAAAGTTGTCCATTTAGCAACAAATACTTGTTTTCTTGCATACTTGTGTAGAATATTGCAATTTGAGGTGTGGCCTAATCCAAACATCACTGAAATCGGAGATTTCCACAGGCTTCAGAAAAGATGAATTTGCAAAATACCTGGCATTATTATGATGAATGTGCAGTGTGACAGTAGTCAGTATTAATAAATATCTTGCAGGCGCCTGGCAGGTCTTTATGGTTCAAGAAGCTGCTATGGTCCATGGAGCTGCAGAGATCAGGAGTGATGTTTTTGTTTAGTTGTTTGTTTTTAGTTTTCCTTTCCCCCTGATTTGTAAGGATGTCAGAATTGCTTCTGCTTCCAGTGTAGGTCTTGGTGCAATTGCTTTTGTCAGTGTGTCTTGCTGCACTTTTTCGTTACTAAGATACTGCTACACTCCGATTGCCAAAGATTCAAATGATGCCTCACAAACAGATGGACGTGTTTTCACAGCTACTGCCCTTGCACTACACTTACCTGCCCTTTGGAGATAGGGATTTCTTCTTTTTTGCTTACATATATGTTCAGAGGAAGGAATGGAATTATTTTCCTTGATGAACATTCATTTGTTGTGCGTTCAAGACAAAATACGCTCTGATTCATGTTTTAAATACCATGCCATAGTGTAAGTCATCAAACTGTATGCTGATTGTCTCAATTGTTGTGCAGGCCGTGTAGCATTAATAGCATGGGTTTGATCTAAATAATGAGAGATTTTTCCAGCTAATAAGTAGTGTATATTTATCCCTTAATAAGTCTTTTTTTTGCAGGGTTGCTTCACAAAAATGCTGAATTGACACTTGTTTTATTGCTCACAAGTTACAAACAACTTCTTGTTATTTTAAAGGGTCTAACCTGGAAATGTGTTTTAAACTGAAACTAGCAAGCTTGATTAAATTATGCACAATAAATAACAATGTGTTTTTCCTTTTTCAGAGGCAAAGGAAATTGTTCTGAAGGCACAGATTCTGGCTGGAGGGAGAGGAAAAGGTATTTTCAATAGCGGATTGAAAGGAGGAGTTCACCTAACAAAAGAGTAAGTCTTTAAAATTGAAATAGCATAAATAATTCTGATGTAGTATTTACGCTGTTTACAATAACTGTGTGAGTGTTCCTTTTAATATCTTGTAATAAACTAACATTTCACCTTTATTTGTAGCCCTAAGACTGTTGAACAGCTTGCTAAACAGATGATTGGGTACAATCTGTCAACAAAACAAACTCCAAAGGATGGTGTGCCTGTTAAAAAGGTAAGTTTTTTGCCTTGTGAAAGTTGAGAACTGTGTTCAGCTGCAGTTTTGCATTAATATACTGGAGCGTATGACATAGATTTGTTTTTTTCATTCCTTTTTCCAATGCCTGATTGATTGCAGCTAATTGACAAAAGAAATGTTACTTTTTCTTTCATTGTGTGTATTTTGTCCATCCATTTCAGCATAGCTAGTGGTGCAAAATGAATTCATTTCTGCTACCTGTGTTGAAGGGAGTCCTATATCATAGGTTCATTCTTGATCAAATACATACTAAATGCTAGCATAACTTACTGTAGCATTAACTGTAAATGTTTATTGGTGTTCTTCTTAGAGATGTAATGTATGCATATTTACCTGTAGTAATAATAGCATCTGTATTTCATACACCCTCAGCTTTGGGCAGCTATTACTGAAGATAGAGACAGATTATTTTCAGAGAGTCAGAGAATGGCTTGGGTTGGAAGGGACCTTTAAATTCCATCTATTCCAAACCCCCTGTAATGAGCGGGGACATCTTCAACTAGACCAAGAGCCCCATCCAGCCTGACCTTGAATGTTTCCAGGGATGGGGCATCTATCACCTCTCTGGACAGCTCGTGCCAGTGTTTCACCTCCTTAATTGTAAAAGATTTCTTCCTTATATCTCGTCTAAATCTACCTTCTTTTAGTTTAAAACCATTACCCTTTGTCCTGTCACAACTGGACCTACTAAAAAGTTTGTCTCCATCTTTCTTATAAGACCCCTTTAAGTATGCATGGGTTTGCATGGGAATGATCTCAATTTAAAGAAATAAAAAAGGCATTTGAAAGTAGATTCTTCCTAACTTGTCGCAGATACAGGGTAAAATGCGGGTATGGTAGTGGTTCAGCTAATATATGGCAGTTCATTTACCTATAATGGAACATATTGCAAGGTGACGAGATTTACTTCAGCATAAATGTATTGCTTTACTGAGAAAGGACTTTCATACAGGTATGTAGTCAAGAGCCACGCTCCTAGTATTTGATGCCAAGAGATAATTTGGCATGAGCTGAAAAGAATTACAGTTCACTTTTAATATACCGGGAACAGCTTGGTATATTAGCATAGAAGGGGAACACCTGTCTGGAAAGATACTGTCTAATGAGGGCTGGAGGATGTAGCTCAGGCAGTTCTTCTCTTGGGGAGAGCAGATTACCATCACTCCTCATAGGTGTTGTTAAAAAGAAATACTAGATATTAAAAAGAAGGAACAGTATTACCAAGGCACGTCTGTCAGAGATCGTGATAATACTAAGGGTATAAAAAAGGATATACATTTCCCATATAAGGCACTCTGCTTTGAAGAATTTGTATCGTAAAAGCAGTTTTCTTTTATAAATTCAGTGGGTTTATTCTTTTGCCCTATTTGATCTGCTTTGAATACAGCAATACAGGAAATTTCAGTGTTTGAGTGCAGGTCTGTTCATTTACATATTCACTTCTGAAAAAGAAACCTCTAATTTTCTTTCAGATTGATAGAAATGAACGAAAGGTATTGGGTGTTGGGGTTTTTGAAATGGATTATTCAAGGGATTTATAGCAGGATTACTTTTTTACCATGTACAGAATAGCTGTAGAAGATTTAACTTGTAAGTGCTTTCTTGACCATCCACACTTTGAACAAACAATGGTCAAGAGTAAGCACCTAGGGCATATGTGAAGTTTAAGGTGATACGTTGGTGGTACAGGAAAGTATACAGCCTTGATAGACCGTGTATTTTTCCTTTGCTATAGAGCTACATGGAAACTTTTCAGGACAAATATTTCAAGTGTTTAAATATTGATCCATGATAAACCAGTGTGGTGCTTTTCACTGGGAGAAGCTGATCATCTATTGTCGTGGGCTTCCATTCTGATTATAGACTTAGCTTTTAAAAGCCCTAGGACAATTCGTGTCTTCATTGTATACATATTTGTCAGGGTAATAGTATGGTTTATGTTTTTGGTGTTGAAATCTTGATTCTTGGTAATTTATGGCAAGAGCAGACACCCTGTTTTAAATTAATTATACAGCAGTTCGGCCCATGGCGTGCTAATGGTTTCCCCATTGCTTTTTTTGTTTAAAAGATTCATCTAGGTCATCAAAAGACCATTTCCCAGAAAACTTAATGTTTTCTCAAGAGCATTTACCTTATGGTAATGCTCTTAAGAAACCATGGGCAAACAACAGTAGTATGATTAAAAGTGTAAGTTTAGCTATGTCTAAGATGGCATTTAATGCAGTGGGTAGTTAGTGCACAGAAAATGCTAGACACTCTTTGAGCTTGCTAAGAGCAGTGGGGAAGTTGAGATTTAATAGCTGGCATTTTTGTTCTATTTCAAGGCAGAAGCTTTCTCTGTATGTGAATGTAAGTGTATGTGTGTGTACATGTACTTAAAAGAAAATTGCAGTTCAGGGAGAAAAGAAAAGGCATGTTTTTAGGTTTTGTAGGTTTTAAACTTTTTTATGTTCTGTGAAGTTTGAATGAACTCATATGTTTTAAAAAATTAAGGTAATACATGTTTTTCAGAAGGAAAATAGTTATTAAGTCACTTTCTGTGGGGCAATCAATGAGCTAGTGTCAAGTCAGGGAGTGGAAGTTGCATACCTTTGACATGTGTTTATAAGGAAGGAATAAAAGACAGAAATTTTGTACAATTAGAGTAATTTCAGAGCAGAAAATGGAGTTTTCAGCTTCCTTTGCTTGTGTACCTACTGTGGAATTTAAAGCGTTTTGGTGCTTCTTTAGACTGATGTTTCTCAAATAAATAGAGTTCTCCTCAGTTCCCTTGTAACTCGGAAGCTATTTTGTGAGTTTACATAAAATTCTCTTATGGAAGTTTGGAATTTGGAGAGCCTGGTTATCTGAGGAGACAGTCTTCTCTTATCATGACAACCTGAGACTTAGTTACCTGGGTTTTCTCTCCAAGCAGTAACAACTAACATTTTAAATATCTGATTCAATATAAAAGAGCTGTTACAGTTACCCTTATGAAATTAGATGTGTAACTTAAACTTTTAGGTACCGATTTCTTTTTAAGAAGGAAAGGTTGAAGTTGCCAGGTATTTTTAAATAAAACTGATTTTCCCAGGACACTTAAAATACAAACCTGATGTGGTAAAGACATAACGATGCTTCACATTGTTTATCATAAGCAAAATGGGCAAAACATGGAAGGGTCAACAGTTACTCAGTTTCACTACCCTTAATTGTTCATTGATGTGTTTGTGTTAGTTTTGTCATGTAAGTGATAGGTAAACTTTAAGACATAATATTTAAAAACCTTGAATGTTAATTTCCCTTGCTTTGCTCTGCACCAGACAGGGAAGATGGTGAAGGAAAGTAACTGTTTTATTGGGAAAAATGAGAGATATTACACATCTGACAATTTTTACTCTACAGTAAACCTGCCTACCACAGAGTACGTGGACTCTCAATAGTTTTGTGCGTTAAGACAGAGAAGTATTTGAGGATATTGACATGGTGAATAAATAGTGAGGACAATCACTTGGGTCGTAAGCAGCATTTGAATAGATACCTGATTTAATAATATAAGTTCCACCTGCTATGCTTGCAAATGTATCCCTCGAGACTTGTTGAGTGGATTCCCATCCTAAGTCTGGCCCTGATCCTGAGCATGGCGGAAACTCTCTGAACAGCTCAGACAAGATCCAGTTGGTTTTATTTGAGTTATATCTAAAACAATTGACTCACGTTTTTCAGATACACTGATGCAGGACATATAAGAAGGTGAAAACATGCATGCAGGTAAAAAGTAACAAATCAAAGATACATTTCATATCTTTGCTTTTTAATTTGTCACATCTTAGTAGGTAGCCAAGCTATGTTTCTGAAGTTGGCTTTTAGCATCCCTTTATAGTAGCATAGAACAGGCAGATGCTTTTTAAGTAGTTAGTTTCTTAAGTTCTTGCTTGTCTCCTTCACCGTAGTTTTCTTTAGTTTGCCCTTGAACAGTTGCTATTTGGACTTTTACTTTGCATCACCCTATGTAAAAGTAGAAGGACACCAAATTACTATGTTTCCAAGTCAAAACCCCCAAAAAGAAACAGCATCTTTCCTTCCATTCTGATCACGGCTTTATTTAATTCCTTGTTTCTTACTTTTTATTTCATGTTCTGGTAAGATGTACAGTCAGGCAGAAGGTACATACAGTTTTTCTTGTGTAGTCCAGAGTAGAATGTCAAAAAAGCAACTTGTCTATAGCCTTTGAACTCTGAATTCCCCAACAAGACTTACTTGATTGAACGCATCTTGCCAGGTGGGCAGAGGTTTAAGACTGCAGGTGTATACATACCATTTGGATCTAAGGAGTCTGAATTACTAACTGATGAATTAATTTCAAGTGAATTTCACCTTACGTTTCGTTGGGAGTGATGAACTTCATCTACAATCATTGTTCAAAATTGTCACTTTATAAACAGGCCATGTTAGAAAGATGTTGCCACCTAATCCTAATACTAACCTCAGGGAAGTGATTTTTCTAACTTCTATTACTTCCATTGAAAGATAAGAAATAGTAGCTCTGCTAAGGAAGAATGTAGTTGATTGTCGTAAGGAGAAGTGATAGTGCTCTTTTAGTTGCAGAGGTGGCTGCTTTCAGGTTGAAAAGCAGAACCATATACAGAATGGAACTATAGTTTTTGCATCTGAGATGATGGCACCTATAATTATCACAATGAACAATTAGTAATGATCATATGCAGATTTGAAGAACATTTGGGGGAATTTATCAAAAAATAGTTTTAGGAGTCCTTTGCCAAGTATAAAATGACTTAATCTCTGAAATTGCTTCAATAGCAATATTGTTAAACTATTGCAAAAACTGGCAGTTCAGCTGAAGAGGAAGCTATAGTTACTGTAATACTGAAATGGAAAGGACTTTGTGTTTAGCATGTTTTTAGGAGGAAAGAAAAAATCATGACAAAGAATTTATCTGGACCATTTTCAGCCCAATTTTAATGCGAGTACATCTAGATTCCAAACATGTAGGATTTGAGTCATCTGTTGTGTTGTGTGCTGAGGTATCTGTCAGATACTGGGACAAAAGGGCTCTGTAGTTTATAGTAAAAAGTAGAAATTAGTAGCTTTTTGGGAAAAATAAAGTTTTATGTTTCTAGATTGTGCCAGTATCTGAAGGTCACACATCTGCTTGTCTCTAAACTGAAAGCAAAAACCTGGATGGCAGAATCATTTTTAACCCCATTTCCTTAGGAAGTACTTAGGCAGGTCAGGAATTCAGTGCTGAGATTGTAAGTGTAGAAGGGCCTTCTGTCAGAATGAGAAAGAGAACTTAAGCCTGAGGATTTACTGGTGAGGAATGGCACTACTGATGAGATGCTTCTGAAAGCCAGTGTACCCTCTCTCGTACCTATGTGATTTGCAAACTGTACTCCCTTGTGATTCAAGTTTTTCTGGGGTCAGCACTTTAAAGTGCATGTAAAAATTTAGTATAGAGGATTTCAACAACAGCTTCAGTTCTCCTCTTGGAACCCCAACAATTAGGTGTTCCTGGATTGCTCTGCTTGTTACATGTCCCAGTGAGAACAGCAGCATCAGGGGAGTCTGTTATATAGGGAGAGAGGATTTCTTTGGGAAGAGATCACTGGGTCATAATATCTTGTAAAAGCAGTGAAACAAGAATTTCTTTTCAGGACAGCAAGTATCAAACTGCTGTGTTTTAAGGCAATGCAGAAACGTGAGCCACTATGTTCTCTGCTTCACCAGCTAGATGGACCAGTCAGAACTGTCATTGTTTCGGGCCTTTTCTTTTTCACTATATTCATTTTTAGGTGATGGTTGCAGAAGCACTGAATATTTCCAGGGAAACATACTTCGCCATTTTGATGGACAGAGCCTGCAATGGACCTGTTATGGTTGGCAGCCCACAGGGTGGTGTTGACATAGAAGAAGTTGCAGTTACTAGCCCAGAGCTTATCTTTAAGGTATTAATATAATATTTTACACTAAAAATTTTCCTTGTCAGTTATCCAAAAGAATATATTCCCCCCTTCCCCCTTTCTCCTTCCATTTTTCCTTCTTCCACGTATGGGAAGAAGAACAATAAGAACCATAAAAATTATCTCACCAAATAGGGGGCCAGACCTATCATCTAGTAGATGAATGAAGTATGTTTAACATCTGATTTCGTCAGTGTCTGTGTCTCCAGCTCAATTAGAAAAAGAGCTTAAATCTGGCTTTTCTGTGATACATTACACTTAATACCTGATATGTTTCATGACTGAGTTTCACTTTCAGGTAGGTACACAGTTTATTCACAAGTGGGTCAGTGCCAGCATACTTACTGTTTCTATCATTGGTTATTTTTTCTGACAGAATTGTTAATTATTTCTTTGTACCTGGGTGACTTTTGCAGCTGAAATACAACTGTTGTAATTGCTTTCTTAACGACGGCTACATTTAAGTATTCTTCGTGTTACTGTGGCATGATAATGAGTAGACAAGCCATTAATCTGGGAAAATAATTGATACAATCAAGTGTAATTATTCAAACAGTTATAAAAATATTTAATGTGCATTCTAAAAATTATATAAACGTTCCAGTGTTACTGGGCAGTGACACCCATTGCCTTGAAAGTATTCCAGAAGATGTCATAAAAATTAACAGACTAAATAGTCGTCAACGCCATCTGTACAGTAATTAAAAGTGAAAACTGGTGTCACATTGTCTTGTCAGAATGCCACCCTGAAGAATTCTATATCTTTTTGGAAGGACTGTTTTGGAGTTGGTGTGGTAATTATAACATACCCTATAGGCAGCTGCTGTAGCCTCAGTCTTGGAGAGCTTTGGCAAACAGCCATGCTTTAATTACTCATTTGCAAATGTATACTAAGTGTTTTTCTTTTGAAGTTCTAAATCTCCATTCAGGTTGAATATTTAGTTATATTTATGCACGTTATTGTTGCAGGAGGAAATAGATATTTTTGAAGGCATAAAGGATCATCAGGCATTGCAGATGGCAAAAAATTTGGGATTTAAAGGACCTTTGCAACAGAAGGTAACTTGACTATTCCCTCCGTTTTTTACTGAGGACTTTTTAGCCCAGCCATACAATAAATGCTTTCCAAATAGACATGAAAAGCCAAGTGTCCATTAGATCAGGACTGTTTTGACATTTTAAATACTAAATGTCACCTAGTTAATTGTCATCAGGCTTTAACCTTTTGAGTAAGGTCCTTATTGTTTCAAAGTGAAAGTTTCTGGTCTTTGGTGACAACATGCTGTTACACCACATGGGATTCTTTTGATTCTGCTGGAGCTCACTGAATTACATGTTAGAGGCTTATTGGAAAATTTGGCCCTTAATATGGGAGAAGTAAAAGTGATCTCTCTGGGTAATTGAAGCTTTTTTTTTCAACTCAAACCCAAAATGTTGCCAGCTTGTTGTCTTTTCAGTATCTCTTTTCTATGTGTGTGTATATATATAGAGAGGAATTCCATACTGTACACAAATGTGCAAGATATTTTGCCTTTATGAATCATTTTGCAGAGAAGAGAAAGATTGTTTATGTTACTTTTGCCTGTTTTTTCCCCCATAGTATCAAAGTGTCATTTTTGTAGAACTGCTTTATTTTTAATTCAACAGTTTTAATTATTTTCTATCCCAACCATGCAATTAAAAAGCGAATACTCATTAAGTTGATTAACACACATTTGAAGATTTAGCTGTATATCTAATGAGGAGGAATGATTATGTAGAACCTTTCAACCCTTGAAGAGTTCTGGTACTTCATAATTAACAGCAATGTATGGACTTTTCAACAATACATTTAAATAATGCTGCAGTGAATGCATTTCTTTCCTTGTGCTATCAACTCAAAGGAACTTACTGAAGCATAGGGACATAGTTCTTATTCAGACAAATCCTCATGTTTGCTTATACATTCACTATTTCTAGGTTAGGATTTTATGCTTTGCCTCAAAGAGGCTCAGTGCTTGTAAACCTTGAGAAAGAGAAGTGTTGACATTAAGTTGCCTGATTCCAAGACATAGAATCATAAAATAGAATCATAGAATGGTAAGGTTGGAAAGGACCTTAAGATCATCTAGTTCTAACCCCCGGCCATGGGCAGGGATGCCTTGCACTAGACCATGTCACCCAAGGCTCTGTCCAACCTGGCCTTGAACACTACCAGGAATGGAGCATTTATCACTTCTTTGGGCAGCCTATTCCAGTGCCTCACCACCCTCACAGTAAAGAACTTCTTCCTTATACCTAACCTGAACTTCCCCTATTTAAGTTTAAACCCATCATCCCTTGTCCTATTACTACAATCCCTGATGAAGAGCCCCTCTCCAGCATCCTGTTAGGCCCCCTTCACATACAGATACTGAAAGATGGAGCAGCCCTTAATAAACTTAAGTGATTCTGGTGCTCTGATACACTTAAAGCAGTGTACCAGGCCAGCAACAGCTTTTCAGGTTGCCCAGAATCAATGGGGGGTTGCACAGTGGGACTTGTCCCCAGTGTCACTGTTGACAGCCAAACCCATGTGGTATTAGGACAGGTTGTCAACCGAGTGTTTGTACTTCATAAGCAATTCATATGCTGCTTCCAAATAGTAACTCTTCAAATAGTCTTAAGACATGTTGATGTCCAAACTGGGATTGGAGTTGAGTCTTTCCAGTCATAATGTTTCCTTTCTTATAAATGGTGCTGTAGGAGAAAGCTAACTTCTGTCATTTTATTTCCATTCACTTTGCTTATGAGGAGAGGTCCCAAATATTTTTGTTTGTGTACTTTGGTCAATTGATCAGTAATGAAGGAGCAAATCTGAGTATTTCTTTACTAGTGCACTTCTTATCTGCAAACTTACTCGGCTAATTGGTTCATCGCACACTGACGACCTAAGGGTTTTTTTTTATGCACGTTCATGTTGCTGTTGCTTAAGCTGTTCTATTAATGGAAGAATGTTCTAAGAACAAAAGACTTGGAAGTTAGTAGTCAGTCACGATACTTTCAGCTACAGAACCAGTCACAGAGATAGATGGTGAAGAACAATAGGGAATAAGCAAGAGTAACTTGTGAAGAGTAAGCAGGATGCTTCTGACCTAGTTTCTTCAAGGAAACATTTCAGAGTGATCTAGGAAGGAAAAATGTATCTATTTATTTTTTTTCTAAAGCCATAATGTGCAGATACTGCTTTCTGGTTTCTGAATTTAGACTGATTAACGTGGATGCAACTTAGATCTCAGCATGCTGGAGAATATGTCATTATGACCTCTTCAAATTAAACTCGTCATAGTAATAGCGCTGTTTATTTTGTAGAAAATCTTCAGTTCCTGTAGTCTTTAAATGCATAAGTAGATGTTGTGCAGTACCAAAATGCTACATAATAGCTGGTTTAGATACTATACAAATATGATGAAAGAAACAGAAATAAAAGTAGGAATTATCTAGATCTAGTGCGCAGTTGAATACATTAAAAATAATCAATAATGGTTTTCCTTTTAGCCTTGAAAACATTAACTTCTGTTTTTCTTTGTGGTAATTGTAAATCACTTGGTCAAATTTAGGCAGCGGATCAAATAAAGAAGCTGTATAATCTTTTCTTGAAAATTGATGCCACTCAGGTTGAAGTAAATCCCTTTGGTGAAACTCCAGAAGGGCAAGGTAAGAAACGGAAGGAGACAAGTGAATGCATTGTAAGTCTTTATTTATGCAAACTATAAATTAAATTGCATAGAAGGCTGTAAAAGCAGCTTTGCATTAATTTCATTTTGTAATGTAATTTAAGCAACATTCATGAATATTCCCATGGCAGATTTTACATTTCAAAACCTTTCATTAATTTCATCCAAATACTCAAAGTATTGGCTTCTACATGTTATGCTTGGTGAGAAACAGTAATATTTTCTGCTTTCCTGCTCTTTGTACAAGATGGGTTATTCTTGGTTTGGGTGGGTTTTTTGTTTGGTGTTTTGTTTGGTTTGTTTCTTTGTTTTTGCTGTTAGACTGACTGAGATTGTGTGGAAGGAAACTTGTTATTCTACATGTCTAAGCATATGGGTAAGTTAAAATTTTAAGTGCATGACTACAATCTACTAGAGCACAGGAGAAGTTCCAGCTGGAACTGATGCTTAGCCACAGGGCTAAGAAGGTATAACATAAAAATAAGCCACTGGATTACATTTCACATCATTCTAGTAGTTGGTTTTCCAGCTGAGACCTTCCCTTTGTCATTTTTGTCCAACTAACTTTGACACAGACCAAGCGAGGAGGAACTGAAGGTGCCTGTGATATATTGAAATAGAGTAGGGCTGATCCAGGTGGATCATAGTTACCACCTTGCTGACTGGTTTGATGGCAGAGCAGTTTTACCCATGCATTCATTCCTTATGCCAGTATTTTACAGTATTCATGCCCCCTACCTTTTTATTTCCTGTCTTAGATTTATGTTGATAAAGATGAGATTGTAGAGCTCAGGGGGAGACTTAATGTCAAAAGGCTGTGGTTACGAGCACTAGTGATTTCCTAGTAGAGGCCCTACCCATGGGATCATTTTGTGATTTGAGAGTAGTCTTTGGAATTGGGAAGTGCTGGTGGGTTGTTACTGAGTGTTTTTATCAATGTTTGTCAAGAAAGACAGTTCCAGCGTTTCATCAACTTTATAAGCTATGCCTAAATATTAAAGTGGAAATTAGAAA